CTGAATAAGCTACCCTACCATAAACGCTGCCAGCCATGTCCCGTTAAGGCTTCTTCGGCCGCACGGTCAGCGCGGCTCGGAAAAAACATTAAAAATTAGAAATACACAATTTTTCCCCTGCCAAAAAATCGAGGCGACGTTGGAGAAGGGAACTTGCTCCACCCTCGAAGTTTCTAAGGGGTAACGCCTTTCCGAAGACGAGGATAAATAAAGCGGAAGGCGCGAGGAAGCACATTACATTACATTACATTACATTACCCGTTCTGCCTCCGAACACTCGCCTACGTAAATAAATAAGTTGTAAACATATTTGTCGCGAGCATTTAATAATAACACACTACATTCCGACAACACGTATCATCGGCGTATTCGTTCGGGAACACTTCCGTTGCTGACGCTGTTATCAGCCATAGACGAAAGTATTTGTGTAGAGGTTTCTCACTAATTGTAATCAGTCAGTTTGCGTCACTTTTTTCTTCGTAGATCTTTGTTCGATCTTTATTTACCTGTGCATACTGTCCCATTTTAGACTGTGAATGCTGTTGGCTGTGTGTTGGGTTATTAGTCAGTAAACTAACTATGAGTGGTGCACTATTTAGTAACACTACCGGATTAGTGATAATGATTTATTAGAGAATAAACATGCTACAATATTCAACTTATATCTTATTGAATACAGAGCACCGGTACGCACGGGACATCGGCATAGAGTCGCGAGAACACTGAACACAAATGACGAAGTAATAATTATACTTTAATTAATGTAAGAGAATGATGTATTATATAGTTCACATTAAACTATAGTACATTGTATAGAAGCGAGCATTACTCAGCTTTCTAAGCGTGTCATTTTCGATTGACGGGATCCAGAACGGCGCATTACACCATCTTAATAGATAATCGTTTACATATCAGACAGTCGTGGCAACACGTTTCACGTGAGACATCACGGAGACGCGATCACTTCCGCGCGGTAATTAGATTTATTAGCGCAACCATGGTTTGCACACAATGCATACTATTACGACAGTGTAAGTCGTCTAGGCGAGTTTATTAAATCGATTGATACAATTTGACTCGATAGTATTCGTTACACATCATATGACTGATCGATCCATTACGAAACATAACTAAGGTAGACGTGAGTGGGCACATTATTTATAAATGATCTATCAACGTGACACAAACGTAAGGATCGTTAAGAAAAACGTATAAGAACTAAATGTATATAAGTAAACAAATATAGCCAGGATACTTTTATCATTTATTAATTACTTAAAAACTTTAATTGAAATTGAATGTCTCAATGATAGTTAGAGTGAAAAATTTAAACAAACTCCAAGATATATAAAATATGAATGTAGTAACACATAATAACACAATTGTTTCTCAAACAATAAACAAAATACACTATATTAAAGAAATCCGTATATTTTGATTTATACACTTAAATATTTTTTAACTTAAATATTAACATTAAATATTAAACTTTAAGTATTACATATCTTCACTAGGTATTGGCTATCTATATCATAAATACATAAAATCTAAAGCGATATAAGTTCATCAAATCGTTATACCATCGTATCATTCATCTATTCCCGCGACAGCTCACTCTGAATCAAGCGCGATTCCGTGTCTAGCAGAAGAATTTCTGAAACAAAACGACGTCCCCAGCGGAAAGAGGATGCCGGCCGGCGCTGTCCCGATCAGAATGCGCGGCGCGCGCGTTTCAAACAAAAAGGCATGCACCGATCGACGTCGGGAGCTCGCGACCACCCCTTTTTTCGCCTGTCCACCGGAGCGCACCAGACGCTGGATCTTGAGATTCATAACGAGAATACCGACACGTTCCGTATAGTCGATCGCGAGCCATGCTTTACGATTTCACGCGCGCCGATACCAGGAATAAGTAATTAATCGGAGATGCCGGAAGGTTCGGTGGCAGCAAAGGAAAGGCGGAGTCAGATCGTTTCTTTTATGTCCATCGAAAAAGTTTACTTTTCTACTTCCACATTTCGTTGGATTGCTGGGAACGTAATGTTTGCTTGTTAACCGCCGCGGTGGGATAAAGTCAATTGTTGGAAGAAAGAGGGTTGTAGAAAACTGAAATAGTTCATATTTTTACTATTTCCACAGTTTGGTGAGTCAGGAACGTAACGTTCGCTTGTTAACCGTGCCGGGATCAAGTAAATTGTTGCAAAGAACAATATTGCATTTAGAAAACTGAAAATGTTCACTTTTCTGTTATTTAGAAAGTTAGACGTGTTAATCACACGCAGTTTTAACGTTAAACAAATATAACATCCGTTGTAAAGAAATATTTTGTTGCCACGAAGTAGTTAAACGCTAATGAAGGTTCATGTTGACAAAAGATGACTAAACATATATATTCATGTACGTATGCAAGTTTCATGTAAAAAACATGCAGAACGGTGTGAAAGGTCATAGAATATAATGCAGAAGAACATCAATTTTTCATTCGCATTACACATGATATTTTAATCATATATCTTATGTTATATTTTTCTTACCCGCTAAATTCGATGTCAACGGAAATCGCAATTAATGTAATATTCAAATGTATGCAGGAAATATTCAAGAATAATCAAAGAACTTTTTGTTTCTTTTGGGGAGAAAAATTAATTTTATATTGAGAACGACTTACGTGGTTATTATACAAAATACTATATATAAATATCATTTAATTAACTACAATTTTAATTTCTTAGTTTTTCGTGAACATTACTCTTTTAAAGGAAAAGAATTTCTAGATGGTTTTCGTTTCATGTTTTTTTCAATGATCATATAATTCTATTATTTCCACATTTATATCGTGGAAATAATGAAATAAAGAAATAATTCACGCTACTGAACAACTATAAATTATTTCTGTTGCACAATAGGGCAAGAAATAATAAAATGAAAAATTGGATATTTTTCTCATTCCACTGACTTTGTATCGAAATATTCATTTCATAAATTATTATTTGTCAGTCGCTTAAATAATTTTGTAAGAATTAAATTATTTCAAAATAAAGAAACTATAAAAACATTATTTGACGAATGTTAAGTTTAAAGATCCTTGTTTTCGTTCCAACCAAAACCATTGAAATTAGTTAAAATTTAATTAATCTTCACGTTAAACAAAATTTTGCTGTTAAAAGCACAGTAGATAAAATTTGTTCTAATACAATAATAAAGTTAGATAATGGTCAGGGGAATTGTACATAATTATATAGAGGTAATTATAACTGCATACACAAAGATTTTGAAGTAACCGCTACTTCTATGTACGTGAGTGTGTATGCTTTCACTTAAGGAAACGACACATTTCACACGTGTCAACGCAATGCAAACTGCAGTGCATTTTAGGGTGTACGAAACCAAATATTTCTCAGCGCTCATAATTACTGTATTCGATCGTAAAAGGATATAAAATAGTGTGGGATCAGGACACCTCTAGACACTTGAAGAAGCGTCGGGAGATTGCGAGGAGTCGCGATACTCCATGCTCCTGGTCGTTAAAGTGACCACCAGACAACGACGACGATTAAGATGCAGAAAAGTAATTTCAGTTGGACTTTCTACATTGTCAACGAGATAAGGATTTATAATTTCAGTGTACTTATAAATATTTTTATTATATAATGTAAATTTACACTCTTAGTAGGGTTACTAATATTTTTGATAATAAATATTCATGAGTTTATCATTTATTTCTCGTTGTATTCACTTTTGGGAAATTGTAAGTTTGACGGTGCAAGTTTTTGCTAATTACGATCGAGCTTTTTTTGAAATTTTTCCTGGAACTTACTTCTAATGTTGATTGATAGCTTTGGAGATATATTTTGCTGGGAATCAAGGGAAAATTAGTTTCTCTTTGGTCTTTAGTAATTTATTTCTTAGGACAGCTATGATTTATGGCAAAGGGAGATTTATAAATTAACTGATAAAAATGTAATTGTTGTAACAAGCAATAATCAACATTTAGAGTGGAAAAAAAGAATTTTGTTTTTAATACAATTGTATTTATATAATAAAATTTTTATAATACACTCAACTCATTTTCTGTTTGGTTCTCTTATGCACATTTTGTAAGATAAATCTAATCTCCCGTATGCATATGTGAAATATAAATTTAATTAAAATGGAACATATCTTCAATCTAATACTTGTATATTTCTATTAATATTTAAACTTTTAACATATACTTATTTTATTAGGAATGTATCTCATCGGTTATTTGTAAAAAGAATCATGTAAGTGGTTTTAATTTTTATATTTTTGTATTTTATAAACCACACCTCTTGTATCTAATGTAATACAAGTCCATTTAACATTTACAAGCGTAGCGTTCGCATGCAAATCAACGGAAAACTAATTGCTAGCTAAACAGCTTCACGTTTTCTCATCTCTGTTTTTTTTGCGGCTATCCAGCTTCGGCGAGAAAATGACTCCAAGTGTCTTCTCAGACTATTTTCATGCCGTTCCTCTTCCTTGTTCTGAGTTATTCCGCACTGGCAACTTGGGATGCAATTTTATATGACGATGGTTAGCTATTTGAATTTCATGGAAACAACCGTGAAAGAAAATGATGAACCTTAATGTTAGAAACTCACTGTTTCATAATATTCATGCATTTAACGTGACTCCTTCAAATGACGTTTTCTCAACTATTCCTTAATTATTCCTTATACTTTCTATTTCAGTGAAAATTTCAAAACGACAGGGCACTTTAAAGATTATTCTAAGCATTTCTGCTATTCGATACACAGTATGTCGTCAGGTTAGTGATTACTAATGTAACTATCATTACATTCAGTGGAATTAACATTAAATATTATATTTCTAATGAGTATTTTTCTAAGGAATAAATGTAGACGCACGTCAGATAAAGGATTCCTTTTCTTCTTCTAATAAATTATATGATAAAATAGTTATAACGAGTGCAACAACTGAATTCTGTTATGGTGCAAAGTAACAAAATGTAACGAAATTTGACACAGAACAAAGTCCTGTGGTGTCAAGTCTAGTGACCCATCGTGTAACAGAAGAGGATACTGAATGTCGCAGTCCTTTACCCTTCCATGAAAACTTCAACAGTAGTTTGCAAACAAACGAATCATTTCTATAATATTGTTATGTTTCTGTACTATTATTCATGAATATTTACCTTCGCAGTAAGTAATACACAATGCAACAATCACAATGTAACACATTGTAATCCTTTTCTTAAAGTCAAATTGAATTTTGCCGCTACTCACATCAATCTCCACAAAAATCAAAGGTGTAAAATCACGATGGTGTCATGACATCTTGCATCCTGTACAGGGTGTTTCAAAAGATCATATCACAAGAATCAACAGTAATTAACAAACAAGCTATTAACTTCTTCTCCACGGTCCCTTTCAAACAATTTATCTATCAGTAACTAGAACAGAACGCAGCAATAACAAATTGTACGCCTTTCTTCAAGATCAAAATGAATTTCGCGATTACGTACACATTAATGTCCATAGAAACCGTATGTCTATACCCAGAATTCAATTACATGGTTTAAGCATCGAAAAGAGACAGGATAGATTGGACATCTTTTAGAATTTCGCGTCCGATGGTCTGAAACACCGATCGCGAAAAAAGGCACTTTTTGTTATGCACTCTACAATTTAAACACACCGCACTGCAAAATGAAATGTATTTAATCCTCGTTTGTGATTTAATGTAAAATTTTCATGGGAACACATTCGTGCTGTAAAAGTTCCTCGATATATCTATTTCTATTAGTTACGTATACTATTATACGTCCTAAACATAGGTAAATTTTAGGAATTTTATTGCTAATAACTATTATCTGATGATTTATAATTTTTCTTGGTGTATATAACTATAACCTTCTGCTTTATATTTATATTTTTTCTAAGCCAAAATATCACAAAATGGTCAAGTTGAACACCCGAAGACAAAAATGTTTGTGGATTCACAAATAATGGACATTACTCTTAATAAAATATTATAACTTTCAAGCCAATGGCTGGGAATTTAAGATTTATTTTCTCCATTATATGGCATACAATGCAAAATGAAATACTTTGAAGAAATATTATCTTACCTCGGCATGGTATAAGACTAAAAATTCTAAAAGTATTAATCACAATTCATTTGTTGGCATCGAAACTGTAAACTGCGCGAAAAAAGTTCGAACAATTGAACATATAAGTATATAAACACATACGACGCTATTCAAAGTTTCATTTTTTCCGGTAACACCTGTGAATTCTATATGAGCCGTTTATTTTGAAAGTGGCTTCAGTCGATTTTTCAAAGAAATCAAGATAACCGTTATAATAGTTATATAATATAATTCTGCATAATCATTTTATTCTTTAACATTAGGACTAGCTCAAAATGACCCATTTTGGGTCTCTTCTTTCGCAATTATGGAAAAGAAACAGACAATTCTCTGAGAAATACAAACTGGAATATAAGGAAATTGAAAGCTCAATAAATATATTTTTATAAGTTATATAAGAAAATGTAGAATAATCAATTTTACTCTCGGTAGTTCTAGTATTAATAGTTCTTTAACCCTTTGCACTCGGAAGGTTTTCACTAGAAACATTCGACACTTTCCGATGAAACATAGACGACATTATTTGAAACGAACTAATGAGAAAACGTACGTAAATTAAGAAACAAAGCTACTTTATATAAATATTTTACGTATTGATGCATTATAGAAAACTTAATATTATATATAACACTTTGTAATTTGTCAACAAATCAAATGGTGACTGAGAGTCACCTCTCGAGTGCAAAGGGTTAATCTTTTTTCAGTGGACTTAAGTCACGTTTGAAATAAACAGTTCGTACGGTTGCCTTCGGAACGGAAGTGGAACGGTGAAATGAACGAACGCCAGTTAAACTGTCTTATAGGTGTTCTTTATTCTTTGTAAAATCATACAGCAAAAGCGACCGGAGTCTACACAGTGTAGTCAAGCGAGATACAAGTGACATGATGGTTCAACGGGCGAACGACGGTCAGGGACACCGTACTTATTTGCACGACGTTTAAAAGCTTCCCTCTTCTTTTTCCGTTTTTCTCGTCAACACGGCACCACTGACGCGTCGTTCGCGCCATGAACACACAGACACGCACACGCACGCACACACACACG